GCTTTGTCATCTGTGCATCAGTTGAGTCTATTGCTGCAGCTCTACCCGGCTCCACTTAGCGTCCCTTGTCAGCGAGACGAGCCCATGCCATGGCCCTTCAGTTAGGCCCGTGCTCTCGAGCTGGCTGCCCTCATTGCGGCATGAATGTGCGAATGTTTGGGGTGAAACGGTTTGCCTGGAGCCTCTGCCTACACCAAGCCAGGTGGTGACTCTGATTGATGCGGAAACGCTCTTTCAATGGTGTCCAGACCATCATAAGCCAGGCTCCGGATATTCAGCTATCAGACAGCAGGATAGCGGCCGATAGACGCTTGTAGGACCTACAACCACCAAGTGCCGCTACTCGACCTGGCCTTCCGGTGATCAAACAAACAAAGAAACAACAATAACAACCTATAGAGTAAAACAGGTACCTGGAGGGTTTTGTGCGGCCCCAGGTGTGCGGCAACTTCAGCAGCAACCATGGTCGAGGCACTTACGAGGGAGCCCATGCTTGCAGCTGGGCTGGTGCATGCAGCAACGACTCTGGCGACGTGTGTGGAAGTGGCAGTCGACGTCACGGTGCTTCGTGAAGCAGACATAGGGCGGTTTTTGCACGTACCGAAGGATATGTCGAAGGAGTTAAGGGAAGCCGATTTCCAGACAGCCAACGAAGTCATGCTCCCCGGCCATTTCACATGGCCGAGTGACGCAGGCCCGCTATATGTCTAGCTAGCTCTGGGATGGGTCCCGGAGATCCTGGCGAAATAGTCGTCAAAGCGCGGCCGGCCAGGCTGATACGACAGGTGCTCAGCCGGGAAGCAGCCATGAACTTGGACCTGCTACCCAACGAGCCTGCCAGCCATCACGCTGGCCGCCAGCCCCTGCGTAAGCTGCTGAAGCTTCGTGCATCGCCGCACCGCGATGTCGCAGAAGTCTTCGTTAAAATCCGTTAGAATTGACCAGCGAATCCTACGCTGGTCAGTTTTAACGGATCTTAACGAAGACTTCCGCGACATCGCTGTGCGGCGATGCACGAAGCTTCAGCAGCTTACGCAGGGACTGGCGGCCAGTTTGATGGCTGGCTGTGGTGGTGGTTAAGTTGCTGTGGCCGTGAAAACAACCAATAATTAATCTGTTGCGGAATGCCACAAACGTTTCTTTCTGTCGGATCTTTCAGTCGGTGTCTTGCTGACTTGCTGATGGCACCGCGGAAAATGTGATGCTGTTGCTGTTTACAACAGCGTTTCACCATCCAACCGGCAACTGGGAGGGAGTACCACCAATGAGGCCTGTTGTACAGACCCAGCGTCGTGCCTCAAGCTGTTTGTTTTCCACGCGACTGCTGGCCCTATGCTGTCATGCCAGGAAAGGATCTCGTTTCAAGAGATACGGATTCAGGCGAGGCACGCAGCTTTGACTTTCAGATGGTCCCGTACATCTCATCCACAGCCGAAGGCCCCAACACCGTAAACCCTAGTCTCTCCCTGCACTCAGGGTCCGTAAATAAGTAGGAGAGATTCCTAACTCGTTTCAGGTTCAGGGATTGGACACAGCAGTTCAGGCTTTCAGGCTGTTGGATTTGGGGAGGAGGCTTGACGGGCAAACCAACGCTTGAACTCCAGTCAGGGAGTTGTCCTTCGTCAAGGCAAGCACCAGGGGCCACCCTGGATCACTGATCCAGGCTGAACCTTCGCAAGCTTTTCTTTCTTCTCAGCTTACGGTTGTTGGCTCATTGAGGCAAGAACCTTCAGACCATCCCCCCCGGCGTCGTGGCGGCCTCAGAAAGCCTTGGGGATGTGTTAGTTCCAGGGTGTGGTTTGTGGTTTCGGGATGTTTCAGGGTTTACGGAGTGGGGAGTCGTGGGTCTGGGACTTAATCTTAGTTTTCTGGGTTTGAGACATCAGTGGTGGCGAGGGCTGTGCCCTCCGGCACCCATGCAACCTCCAGGAGAACCTTAGAGCGCTAGAAGCCGCTTGACGGGAATGATGAGGCCTGTTCGTACAATTGAATCGAGCAGCCTGAAGCGACATGCCGGATGGACAACGCCTCATGCGGTGCGCAGGTCCTCGCCGTAGCCCTGGAACAGAGAATGCCCCAAGCCATGAACCGTGAAAGGAGCATGTCACAATGTGAGTCCCGAGTCACTTTCGTAGTAGTGGCTACAAGAGTGCTTCAGCCATCATACAGAAGGCCTTTATACCTGAGTAAAGCACACCTGAATTTCCTTCCAGTGAACCTCAAAACTTCAACAAAAAAAAGCCTAAAACAGCCCCTCCACCTCCAACCCTTTGTCCTAACTCCCAAGGCCCTGACCGTCTGGCCATACAGGGTCGTCTCATCCTAAACCCTGGACCCGTCCGACCTAAATCCTAAGCACCCCAAACCCTACACCCGAAACCTCAAACCCGAACCCTGAAAGCTTAAACACCAAAATCCCAAACCCTAGAATCCTAAATAACCGAAACCCCCTAAAAACAACCCCTAACCCCTAAACAAAAACCCCAAGCCCCCGAAAGACAAAACCCGAAACCCCTAAAAACAACCCCTAACCCCTAAACAAAAATCCTATGCCACCGAAAAAAATTCTTTGGAGGATGGCAAGGCAAGGCTCGAGGCCGTGCGCCGGCGCGTCAGCGGCAAGGAGCCTTCCTTTCGTTTGAGTTTAGGGTTTAGGGTTTTGGGTTCCTTTTTTGGAGTAGCAGGAGGGGGGGGGGGTTTGGGTTTTGGGGGATTTTTGGGCTTGTAGGATTTACTTGAGGTTTGGGGTCTTAGTTTTGGATCAGGAGGTTGGCTTGGCGTGAGTTTGTGTAGCCTCTTGGCTTGTTGCGCAAAGTTTATGCCCTGAGCCAAGAAAACCCTAGAGTCCAGCACCTCAAACACCGTGAACCCCAACTCACCTCCTGAAGTTTGCGACGGAGAGGCCGAAGCCAAAACGCCTTGAAGTCCCCAAACCCCGAAGCTTCGCCAAATCCCAGGAGGGACCAAAGCCGGGCTCTGCCGAGGCAAGGAAGCACAAATGCAGGTGATGAGAATGAGGGGATGATGTTGAGGGAGACGAGGGAAGCGAAATTGGTGGTCATGATGTCTTAGTTCACAACAACTGCAAGTACTGTAGCAATTGCTCGCCATTCAGGCTGGATAGCTTGATACTTTCGATTTTGGGTTGGGTGGCGCAGTTTAGGCCTGTTTGATTTTCGGTTCGGCTGCTGCACTCATTTGCGTGTGTACCGGCATGGGCCTCAGAATGTATTGCTTCGTGGATCCCAGCTCGACGTGGAATGGATGATTGTGCCGAATGATGGTGTCGTTTTCCACACAGCAGCCTATGTGTGGGCAGCAGCAGAGAAGCTCACAAGTGTTAGCTTCAAGCACAGGACAAGCTTGGCTACATGCGAAGCGACCACATGCTGGTGCGGTTTCTCATCGCAAGACAGCCCTGCCCTTACAATCGCCAACTTGAGTACCAGTTCAGTTCGACACGCCACTTTGCCGGGGCTCGGTTTAGTTCCAAAGCTTTGCTCACTTTTCTTGCAGCCAGTCTCGATGTCTGATATCAAGTTCGTTTTGTGACGCCTCTTCGGTGTGGGCTTTCAAGTCCAACTTTGGCTGTAGATGCGCGGCCGTCTACGCGGAATCATGTGCAGCAAGCACTGTCTCTGCAGTTCGGCCCAAAGACAAAACCACAAGACGTTTATGGGCGTTTGTATGGTTTGGGATTCCGAAAAGTTTGATCCCTTTCGTGTTGCAGTTGTTTTCCCTGGGACAAAACCACACCGATATTTGTCCCAAAACAGACCCTGGTTTAGAAAATTACCCATGTGCTTTTGTATGGTTTGGGATGCGGCACTACAGTTTGGCCCCGGGACAAGCGAGATTCATGGGCTTTTGTATGGTTTGGGATGCCGAAAGTTTGACCCCATGTTGGACCCCTTTCGTGTTGCCGTTCGGTGCGCGGGGACAAAACCACATCGACATTTACAGGCGTTTGTATGGTTAGGGATGCGAAAAGTCTGATCCCTTTCGTGTTGCAGTTTGGCCCGGGGACAAAACCACAGCGACATTTAAGGCTGGTTTTGGTTGCACTGCAGAAAAGTTTGACCCCTTTCAGAATTCCAGTTTGGCCCTGGGACACAACCACGTCGACATTTAAGGCTTTTGTTTTTTGTGAAAGCAGCAAAGCTTGGCCCCTTTGGTGTTGCAAGTGGGGCAGCACCACAACGACATTTATGTACGTGTTTTATGGCTTGGGATGGTGTTGACCCCTTGAGTCTTGCAGTTTGGCCGGCGGACAAACCATAATGATATTTATGTGATTTTATGTGCGTTTGTATGGTTTGGGATGCCGAACAGTTTGAACCTTTTCGTGTTGTTGACCCCTTTCGTGTTGCAGTTTGGCCCAGGGGCAAAACCACGACGACATTTACGGGTGTTTGTATCGTTTGGGATGGCGAGAAGTTTGGCCCCTGTCGTGTTGCAGTTTGGAGCATTCCTTAGAGAGCACGGACGGACATCACGAGTCACGAGCATGCCGACGCTTTTACTGCTCGTGGCATCAGGTCCGAGTCTTGAAAAGTTTCACGCGCATCATGTGCCGAAGAGGTGTGTCGCCGGTTTACCTTTTTGTGTCCGATTGTGTGCCGGGGATGAAGTCAGCCAAAGACTTCGCTCTATGGCGTGGTGTGCACCTGGCGGTTTTCTGCGGAGCGGAGCTATGCCTTGGGCCGCTTCTGGCGGACACGGGCTTCCTTGGGTCGGCAACGTGTCCAATTGAAAGAATCCTGACAGTAGCGCGGAGAGGTCCAACATGCCTGCGACGAGACGGCCGTGCCAACAGTCAACACCGTCTCTACATAGTGAGTTTGCTGTCTTTTTGTGAGAGCAGGCGAGGCCACTCTTTCGTTGTTGCACGGTGTTCTAAATGCTGTTAATGTCGAAATCGCCTTTGAACTACTGGTTCATGCAAACCCGCAGAGATACTCAATTCTGCGTCCTCCCAAGCCTAGCCGCCGGAGCCCAAGGTGGGACGTTGACAGAGCAGTTGCCATGCTCGAAGGCCACTATAGGCGGGGCTTTGGGGTATAGGGTTTCGGGGATTCCGGGTTTGTTTACGGGGTTGTAGCTCAAAGCCCCGACTCACCAGACTCCGCTAGAAACTTGAAGGCAGGGGCCTCTTGACCCGAAATCTGTGGCAACTTGCCATCTCCTTTCGGGGTGTCAGTTTAAAGAGGTTCGTCGCAAAAGGGGGCTCTGCGTCGAGCTTCGCCGCTACTCGTAGAACTCGGCCTCTGGATCGTTGGCTTTACGGTTCGGTGACAGGTGGCTGGCTGAGACCAACATGGAGACGCTGCTCAAGGACCCCTTTCCGGAGGAGGCCGGAGCTTTCAAAGGCCTTAGAAGGCTTGTACTTTCATGTGCAGTTTTGGTTTAGCGGCAGGTGGGCTTCCAGGAATTCGATGTGGAAGCTTTGGGATTCGGGCTTCGGGTTGAGAGTTGAGGGAGTTGAAGGAGTCGGGGAGGGTTTTGCAGTCTGTTTGTTCGTATTGATGGGTTGGATTGAAGCGGCTGCCCCTAAACCCTAAACCCTAAACTCTAAACCCTAAACCCCAAGGGGTTCGATCAGTGACCCTCTGCCAGTTCCAGCCCTCGCTGCGCAGCTGTGCCAGGTTCACATCAAGCGCTACTACCCACAGGCGCCAGCGACATCATTTCCCGCCTTCACTCCCTAAACCCGTACAGCAATTAAGAGTTTTCAGGGTGTTTCAGCTTTTTGTGTTTCTCAGAGCTTTGTGGAGTATGCGTGTCAGTAGCATGCTGGGGGAGGGGATGTTTCCAAGGCCGAAGCGTCAAGTGCCTCACCTTGGTCCGTAGACAACCTGTACCGAAAGCTCAAACTCTCAACAGTTTTTATCCCAAAGACCGCAGATTTCCGGAGTTCGCATCACATCCTTCTAAGGGTCGGACGGGCTTTGAAAGGGCTTCTGTCTTCAGGGCATCCGCGCCCTCTAGATTCTGCGGCACTATAATTTAGCCCTGGGGGTTGGCATGGGTGCTTGACGGCTTTTGTGTATTCGGTATTATCAAGCTTGCCCAAACCCTACACCCATAGCCCTAAACACTAGAAGCTGGAAGTCCCACCCCTGAAGACACCCCCCAAGCTCCAGAGTCCCACGCCCTCCGTTCTCAGGCATACCATGGCACGGACAAGCTGGGCCGCGTGGACCCTACCTTCTCATGCGTAGTTGCCTTGTCAGCAGCAGATGATCGTGATTGTCCTGCCATGTTGGTATTGTGCTACAGTCTTCGAGTGAAGACGCATCAGATTTGCGAGTTCAGCTCTGATTAATGCCATGAACCCGGCTAGGATTGTCATGGGCAATATTCCTTGTACAAGGCCTAGAGCCCGCGGTTTCTTTTCGGGTCCTTGGGCCTCGGATTTCTTAAGGTCCGCTCTACATCGAGCGGCCCGGGCTTATTGACATGCCACGGCTGCTGCAGGCAGTTCCTCGGAGCTTAGCTCAAGGATGCTTTGGGATCTTTGTCCTGGGTGTTTCCGGCCCTGCTTCGGAAGGGCTTGAAACACAGACGGACGACGTTGCGTGCATTAACGTACAGTAGGCGAAAGGATTCGGAGGCGGCAAGTTCTTGCAAGAGAGTCGCTCCACAGCCGTGGACACTAGAGGTGCAACATGGGCATTGGTTGCCACGGGATGTCATTGTAGACCTTACCTCCTCTAAGGTCCTTGGTAAGCATTAACAGTCATTAACACAATGGTAGCAGCCGTCAGCACCCTCACGGTCGCGACCGTCATGATGATCTCAGGCATCATCACCATCATCAACATCATCAGACACCACTGGGCTCAGCATCGTCGGCGCCATCGTCCTACTCATGCGGCAAGTACTGCCCTAATGATCTTCCTGCTCATCATTTCCATCGTCATTGCAATCACCATCGTCACCCTTCTCCCCCTGCTCTTTGTTGTCGTTTTCAGGATCATCATCATGATCATCATCATCATCATCCTACCAGCATCAGCATTATCATTGTCGTCATGGTCGTGCTCCTTGCCATCAGCGGCGGCCCTGTTTAATTTTCATGAGCATCATGTTGTTGATGGGGATAGCTTTTTATGCTCATGCGTATCACCATTATGATCATCGCATGCCATTACTACTATTCGCAGAAGTAGTGGTTGGTAATTACTTACCGGCAGCAGGAGGCCGTGGCGGTGTTGGTGGTGGTGATGATGGTGGTTGTGGCAGTTTCTGCTGTTGCGGCTGCGTCTGCTGCTGCCGTTTCGTGTGATAGATTAGGAGACGGGATTGTTGCAGTAGTCGTCGTTCCAGCAATTATGATTCAACGGCAATGCAAAGAATCGGTGGCATGACTGGCGAAACGAGCAACAGTGAAAACTTCCAGCACAGCGGTTGCAGTTCGATAGTCCTGCAAAAGCAGCGTCACAAACGAATGGAATCATCACGAACTTATTTCTTTGGAATCCACAGGTCACAACCTGTGAGAGAATTCTTCAGTCGGGCGCCCAGTCTGTCGACAACACCTCTCACCTAAATCTGTGCCACCGCTCGACCCTGCGACAACAAGGTATGTCTATGCACAGACGGAGCTGCAAATACGGCGTCGGCTGCCGGCACTGCTCTCGGCTGTAGTTGTTGGCTGAAGCATCGCAGTCATAGTAGGTGTTGGAGAACTTTAGCACTGCATCTCGTCAACTCTCAAGGCATGTTCACTAATGCGTGGAGAAGTGGTTGACAAGCTGGCGGCTAAGAGGGACCTGTTGCGCGACACTATGTGCCATGGTTCTGCTGTTTCCGCACACCTGGACGGTGGCTGGCATTCGGTTGAGGGTGGCTTTTTTCGTTCAGCTATTTGTTGTCATTGCTTCCGCGCGACCCGCGTACCAACCAAGAATCACCCGCGGACCCACGAATGTCTTTAACTGACAGACGAAGTGTGGACCAAAACTCAAGCCCCTAAACAAGGTTGATTTGGTTGGTCTCATTTCTGATCGTTTGAGAACTGGATGCGAAGAATGTCGTGGCATTGCCATGAGCATCGTCACTAGTTAGACCCGAAGCTCGTCGCGTCCAGCACGCAACAGATGCTGTACCGCCTACTCCTCAACCCGCTGTCTCCCGATGCCCAGAATCCGAAGCCCAAAATCCTATGCCCTGCAGCTTGAACTAAACCCTAAACCCTAAGCCCTATATACCAGGTCTTTGAACATCATGGACTTGGAGGGCCTGAGCTTCAAAATCGCCTCAGGCTGAGCTTTGTGAAGCCAGAAACTTTATTAGGGTTTAGAGTTTCGGGTTTGCAGGGGTTTGGGGTTTAGGGAAACCCTATAAGCGCTGAAGATGGGGTTCGCTTCCAGGGTGCACTGTGCGACAGGGTCGTTCCTTGCAGCCGGCTATTTACACCGGGTTTCATCCCAACAGTTCTACCAATTTCGGGTTCCCTGCAAGGTCAGCACGAGAAGGCAGAAGATCCCCAAAAGGGTTAAGCCGGGCCCTAGTCGCCTTATCACTCCCGACGCTTCGTTCTTCGTTCTTCGTGCAGCTCTCCCACCGGGAAGAGCCGGGAAGATGAGACCGCTACGTAGACAGCCTTCACATCTCGGGCTGGCTGGAGCCCTCTGAGTGTTGGGCAGCTTCCACGCGATAAGGTCACGCACACGACGGCGCGGAAGGTGGTCAAGGCCCCGCACGTGGATTCTCCCGGCCCGAGGCACTAAAGCCTGATCCACACGAGGCTCAAGGCGAAGGCAATCGTGGCGAAAGCTTTAAATCCGGGCATCCTCACAAAACCCAGGCACTCTGCTTCTTTGAAGCCAGCTTGGGGATCGCTATCATGTTGCTACTGCTGCCGATGCCCTGTGCCTTTGCTGCTGCTACTGAGCCTGTCCACCAACAACGACCACGACGACTGCTGATCCTAGAATCCTGCAGTGGCAACAACTTGTTGATGCCTGCTCTCGTCCGCCCTTTGATTGATGCAGGACGTGGTCAGCATGCTGCAGAACCACTACCCCGAATGCAGCGGGAGGCCCTTAAAGGCTTTTGCGATTTCCGGCTTACGCTCGCAGGGTTCTCTGTTGAGGCTTGCCTGTTCAGAGTCCGGATGTAGATTCCGAATTTGTGCTTTCGGTCTAGAGGCTCGCGACTTTTATTTTTTCGGATCAGCAGCGGTACCGCAGCTTGGTGCTTTCCAGCGTTGTAGTCTGCCGATCAGCCATGACCATGAACATGATGACGACGACTGCGAGCTGGTGCTGAAGGCAATGTCCTTTCTGGTGTTGTTTTCGCAGGTCATTGCTGCCAATGATGATCCCATGTCATTTTCTGTTCTCGCTGGCTTAATCCTGATCAAGCCTATTGTCCTTAACTCTCAAGCCCTTGACGCTCTCGAAGCTTCGGCACCTCGTCACAGTGGCGGTGGTGCTGTAGAAGCAGGAGCAGGAGAAGGAGTGTCACTAGAACCAGGAAAAGCAGGCATCAAACAAGATTGTTGAGATGCAGTGATCGCATTGCCGTTCATGACGGCGTCTCGTCCCGAAGTTGGCTCAAAACCTGAGCCATCTGAAGCCATCAGGTCACGGTGCAAATTCCGGGGAGTCTGAACCCATGCAAGGTCGGCAATGGGCTTGTAGCTTCACGGTGTAGGGTTTGACATTCAGACTCCGTAGCCCTTGACGAATCATGGTCTTGGACTTGTGTCCGGAGCTTTACGTTGGTGGCAAGGAAAACCACCTCTGGCACTCCGACAACGAGGAGACACAGTTCCGGCGCTGGCTGGCCCCGAAGGAGGCACCAAAGCGCGGTCCAGTCGAGGTGCCCAAAGTGCCCAAGCCCGCCCCAGCCACGACCGTCGCGCCAGCCGCCTTCAGCTCACAGCGCACAACGGCGGCTTCCTACCCATATGTCGTCGGCCACGGCCCAGGACGTGAGCTTTCCAGGACTTATGCAACCGCTCGCAGTGTGGCAGGCTGGCAAGTTCCAACTCGCACAAGCTGAGCCCCGAGCCCTTATCCCTACGACATTGAAGCCCTCTAGCCTGCGCCCCAATGAATAAGCCCTGCATTCTGGAATCGCACCCGCAAAGAAAACCCTGCAAACGACCCACATAATCACTGATGCAACCCCTTCTCCGGGCGGCCACATCGAGACAATCCCAAAGCCGGCAGTGATGGTCGCAAGCACCGCTGCATCCATTCTCGACCGGAGCCGTTGCCCAGCATTCCCGCGCCCAACCCAACATCCAGCAGTGCACGTGAAGGCACTCCAGCGAGGAGCCCCTCCCGTCACGGTCTACGTCGTCCGGCCCGCAGCGTATGTGCAAGTGCGAGCTGCTCCACATCAAGCGCAGCCCATCGGTCGCGAGACATCCTTTTTCGCAGCATATCCCTCGGTGTATGTACGCAAATGCGTAGTTCTTCCGCCACGGGTGCTGGTAAGGGCGTAGTCCTTGGCATTCATGTGGGCCCCTGGCGGAAGCATCTCCACACTCAACCCCTTCAGGCCGAAAAGGGCTTGATCATGCTCCATTGGTAGCATACCGTAGGTACCCCAGTAGTCTTTCTCGTTTGAACTGTTTGAGTCTGGGCAAGGTAGTAGCAAAAATGGTGCCCTCGATTCTGAGGTTTAACTGGGGGACCTTTGCATTCGTGCCGAAGCGGTGCCTATGAGCCCGCTAGAATTACATGCTGGCTTGTGCTGCAAAAGAGACTGCTCGATGTTGTGGGTTTTGGGTTCGGGGACGATGACACCTATGAACCCTCCACACGAGCTCGGAAGAGAGCTGTCGCCCCAGCATTTGGACAGTGGAGCAGCTTTCAGGCCTTGACAGGATTAGGAGCGGCAAGGCTTTTCGGGCGCAGGGTTGATACCATGCCGGGGAAAATCGGATAGGTGTCGCATCCCCCCCCCAAAAAAACCACGTCTTGAGTTCAACTCTAGGCTCAGGCACCTGAACGACGCCCTGTGCCCTAAACAGAAACCCTGCTCAGGATGATCATCATCAATGCCCCTCGGGTTTTTGGCATCGCATGGTCTTTTGCAACTGGGCTTTTACTGGCGAGGATGCGATCCAAAATGCCTGGTCTCTGAATTGTTTATGCTTAGATAAAGGCCCGGGCTTTTCGCAACTGTGCTTGCTTTAATTTTTCAGGTTCGGCAGTTCCGTAGCGTTGAAGGTTTGAGTCTTGGAGGGTTGAGGACTTTGGGGTCTAGGCTTGTCTAGGGTTGATGAGGTCTAAAGCATGTAGTTCTTAGGGCTCAGTGGCACTTGTGCAAACGCTGTGCTTTCAAGACTGCGGCAAACTCAAGTACTTGCTTGTGAAAGCCCTGAGCAGTCGCAGAAAAAGCTGGAGGGCCAGAATCCTGGGTCCGACGGTTGTCGGGGATCTCTCTACCTTTTTTGGAGGTAGCCTTGAAATTTAAGCACAGTCCGTGTGCGCGGCGGGCAGTGCGAAGGTAAAGCCGCAGTTGGATGCAAAGACGGTCGAGAAGATCTCGATCTTCGGAAGCGATCAGCGAGAGGCCGCCTGATAGCCACAAGCCCGAGCATCTAAACCTAATAGCCGCACGCTGTACCACAACTGCTTAATCCTCCGTTTTAAGCTTTCGAACTCCGAGCCTGCAAAGGCCCAAAACGCCCCGACCGCGAATCCTGAAACAGTAACTACTCTAGATTCAGTCTGGTTTAATTGAGAAGACGATAGCAGAAGACTAGAGAGAACACGCCGTATCAACCCCAAACCCGTAGATATCCTGTGAGCAAGAGCTCCGTTTGAATTGTTTCAAGACCGCAGGCGTACGTGCAGTGCCTCCTTGATCTGGTCGACGCTGACCAGCTGTAACATCCCGAGCGTTTATGATTTTGGTTGAGCGGTTTGGGATAATGGTTTTGGACGTAGAATTTTGAGGTCAGTCTGGGAGGAATGATTCAGGTCGAGTTTGAACTCTGACTCTAAGACTTTTGCCTTCGGCTTTGAATGTGACGTCGTGATTCGGGAGCCTCGTGGCTGGCATGGGCGCCTACAATGGTCACCAGATTCATTCATTGCGAAACGTCTCGTAATCTTTAGACTCTGTACAGTCCATGCAACCTGTCCATGTTCGGTACCTAAACCTCAATCCGTGCCGCGCTCTCCACCCTGAAGAATGCACGTCGACAACCACCCTTACAGGATCTCATATCCCGCCTAGGCCTCAGATGTACGGCGGCACTTGCGTCTGCGACGGTCAGGCACGGTCAGGGGAAGAATGTTCTTGCTATAGTTTGTCGCGTTGGTGGTGTGTCGTTGCGGGCTGTGTTGTTGCTGTGCTTGCAGTGGTTGTGCTTGTGGAGGTTATGGTGGTTATGTGCTTGTGGAGGTTATGGTGGTGGTAGTGGTGGTGCTGGTGGTAGTAGTGGTGGTGCTGCTGGTGGTGGTGCTGCTGCGGCTGCTCCTGATCCTGCTGCTGCTCGGCGTGGTGTTGGTTCTGAGACGCTGATGATTGCAGATGCTGCTGCTGTTGCTGTTTTTCGTCGTCGTCGTGGTGGTCGTTGTCGTTGTGCTTGTTACACTGTGGCTTTCGGGTGGTTGTTGTCGTGGTGGCCAGGGGAGGGCGGGGGCGGGGAGGGGTGTTCGAGGCGAGAGTTCCGATAGTTTTTGTGGTGGCAGTAGTCCTTGTGGTTGTATATATATATATGTGTGTGTGTGTGTGTCTGTGTGAGTGCGTGAATGAGTGAGACAATGTGAGACAGTTGTTCTCGTTCCCGCGATCACCATCGGGAAACCGGTTTAGGGAACCTCAAGTCTCTTCAAGGTCGACCAGCAGGGAGCAAAGCTATACTCTATAGGCTGGAAGACCTAACCTTAAAGACGGACCCGAAGCCGACAACCCTCAAAGCCGGCCAGGACCCCATGTCCTGCATGCGTGCCGTGAAGGGGCCGTGGGCGAAGCCAGAGGTGCCTTACCTTGGTTTTGTTGAAGAAGCAACAAGATCACAGTGACAATAACGCCGAAAACGCTGTGCAAATAGCAAGGAGAAGCAGACCACAGCGAAATGCTCCAGAATATGGCAAAGTTAGATGCATGAGATTGTACTGCAGAGTCTGCGATGTAGGCAGCACATTTACCTACAGTTATGCTGTTATGCTGCATGATGATCTGTGCGACCTTTAGGGTTGGGGATCGGTGCATTGGCTGTCTTGCTTGGAGTTGCTGCAGCGTTTCGTAGTCTTCATGCTGAGAAGCATCCCCTGCTTGGGGCTGTCTAGGGGTTCGAGGATTAATCGATCGTTTCGCGTTTCGCGTTCAGTGTTTAGGAGTTGGGGTCAAGGGTGTCGGGGATCATCTTCGCAAGTTTTAGCTGTTTTCCAGGATACCAAGCATGACACATTCTGGCTGCAGGGGTGGGTGAAGGGATGTGAAACCCTGATCCCGGATAGCCAAAATACTGGTGCTGGTATCTTGGACCTAGGAAGCATACGCAGTTAAGGCTTTGCAGTGTCAAGGTCAAGTGGAAGAACAAATCCAATAGCCAATAACTACAGACCCACATGCTGTAGCCGGGACAGGTGCTCAAGATCTTAGAAGAGCATCCGCTGGACGAGGCCGCCACAGCAGATAAAATCTCACCTGGGACACTGTAGGACAGACTTGGGTGCGGCGGGGTCGCGCGCGAGGGGCACTATAGAGGGCTGGAAAAAAGTGTTGATGTTGCCTTATGGCAAATACACTGTTCTGAATAGTAGCCGCAGAAATTACACCGGCATTAACACATGGTAGTGGGTTGAAACGTCCCATCTCGCTTGCGCCTAACTTGCGCCTAACAACCCATCGAAATAACATGACAGAGCTGCTAGCATCAATGCCAGGAGTAAGCCGAGTAGGAAGAACATTAGCACAGGAATGTGAGAAAGAAGATTGAATAGCGCTCGTATTCACGGCAGTTGTCACCATCAGCAGCATCTTCATCGTCATCAGCAACATCTAAACAGCTGTTAGCATCGTCAAGATCAACGTTGCTACTACAGCCACCGCCACTGCCATCGCCACCAACACCACTACCACCCCCGCCGCCGCCGCCGCTGCTGCCACCGCCACCACCACCACCACCACCCAGCAGCAGCGGCGGCAGCAGCGGCAGCGGCAGCAGCAGCGGCGGCGGCGGCTGCGGCGGCGGCAGCAGCAGCACAACCAAGCTAGTGCCAGTAACCGCGAGCATCTTGATAATGAGACTAAATGGAGCATAGTCGCAGCAAGCATGTCCCAAGAGCAACCCCAAGCACTCCTAAACCCCAAACTTAGACCCTGCTAAACCCGAACCCACTCTAGAAGCACCCTAGACCCCAGACCCTAAAGCCCCGTGCCGTCTCTGGTGCTGGCAGGTTCTGACCCCGGAGGGCGCGAAGCTGCTCCAGAAATCGCAGCAGGTTCGGGCTCGGGTGCAGGAGGAGTTTCGGGGGGGTTCGGGGTGAGGGCGGGTCTCAGGGGCTTTCCGGCTTCAGGGTGCATGTTGTTCCGGGTGTTCGTTGGTGTTTAGGGTTTTTTTAGCTGGGGGGTTTGGGGTCTGGGACCTGGGGCTTATGGTGTTTGGGGTGGTGAGTGGTCTTGCGGTGCAGGTTGTGGGATTCCCTTGTTTTTGGACCGTCCCCGTAACCGTGGATGCAACATCCTTACATCAAGATGCATTACACCTTCAGGAACTTGTACGAGCGAACACATTTGTATTCGCACACGCATGCATATGTCTGTGTGTGTGTGCGTTTATACACGCACGAGTGGGCTTCGGGTTAGTGGGGCAAAGCTTGGGAGATTCAAATTTCGAACGGTTTCAAGTTCAGGGTTTCGAGTTCAGGCTCGTGGGCGATGAGCTTCGGGATTCTTAGAAATTTCATCATGATGGGCATGAGCACGGTATTACATCCGAGAGCACATTAGTCTACAAAGCTTGCAGGCAGATCTATGAGGTCGACCTTCGAACTGTCCTGATCATCAACTCTAAGTGCAATCGGCAAACCCTGAAGCTCGAACCCCTTACAGTATCTGTATCATGCCATTCTTCGTCCTCTTCCAGATCAATGGTTGTTTTGTTCATTTAGTTTTTGTTATTGTTGCATGTGTTGGTACTGTGGTAGTTTTAGTACTATTAGTATGAATGCTACTGCTACTGTCACTACTTGCTGTTACGGTGAACAATATTTGCTGTCATTACTCTCGTTACTTGCACGATCATTGCTGTCTTCATCAAGATCATGATGTTAGTGACCATCATCATCATGCTTTCTATTGCCATACATCTTGCTGCTATCATCTCAGATATCTTGATTCATCATGGTCATTCTGGTCACCATTTTCATTATCATGGTCATTTGCTGCTACTACGAACTTCTCGAGCTTCTTCATCGATCCCGGAGCCAGGAAGGTGAAGCTGCCGCCTCATCGCAGCCCGCGGAGTCGCTGGCCGCCGCATCTGCGGCATCCCCGGCGTCCGCGCCAGGCACCGTGGTCTCAGCTCGGGGCTTTAGGGGTACATTTTAGGGTTTAGGGGGTTTAGGGTTTAGGGTTCAGGGTCAGTGTCGGGGATTTAGGACCAGCTGGGCGGTTGTTGAGTTGGAAGGTCATGTCGCAGGCGTTTCACCTGCTTCGTGAAGCGGTCTGGAGGGTTTCCTTTGTGCTGAACCCACGGGCCAGTTGCTGGTTTTAGCGATCAGGGCCCAGGCTTCATCTGCACATGGGTGTGGTAGTTTGGGACCTCTGTGACATCTGTGTATTCGGGTTGCTTCATATTGGCAATTTCACCCGCAAGGATCTCGACTTGGGGGGCTTGATGGTCTTGGGGTTGCGGATGTCAAAGCGGACGTGATCCATGATTCTGCGGAGGTTTCCGTTTCGCTCTTTCCTGCGGGGGATTGCACAGGGTCGGTTGGGGTCTTCGCCTCTAGCTGGAGGCTGAGAAAGATGTGCCCTTCATGATGAGCTTCCCTCTTCTTCCCCCCCGCACTTGCTGCTCGCCATGAAGGGCTAAACTCTTATGGTCCGGCTCATGCTGATGCTGATAGTTGTGATCCAGATGGTGGGAGTGACGATCCTGGTTGCTAGCAGGCAGTCTGTTTGCGAGCCCAATCGTCCGTTCCTCCTGAAACCCTCATCCATCGATAACCCCTAACCATAAACCCTAACTTTTTCAACCCGAAACCTTGAACCCTGGAACCCTAAACCCAAAACCCGAAACCCTGAACCCTGGACCCCTAAAACCTAAACTGAATGTTCCGAGCAGCTTGAAGCCCAAACCTTGGTGCCCCTCCTCGCGGCCATTTGGGCAGGTGCAGGGCAGCCCCAGGCCGGAATAAGACAGTTCGGGGCTTTTGGCTTGTAGGAGTTTAGGGTCTTGAGGGTTGAGGGTTTTAGGGTTTTAGGGTTTAAGGGTGTAGGGTTTAGAGTTTGTAGGAGTTTATGCTACTTGAACTGGGGGTTTTGGGAGTCAGGGGATTCAGGGTGGGGGTTGAGGGGGTTGAGGGTTCAGGGCTCTTAGGGAACGGCCTACAATCGGGCTTTAATAGGACTTCGGGATTCAAGGTGTTGGATCAGTGTTGACGCCTTCTGTAGGCCTTTAGAACTTACTGGTAGGTCTGTTTTGCTTTACGTATACAAATCTCTGAGACATCGCCCATGGATACGATTGCCGAAGCACAGGCGGCTCTGCTGTTGCCTCTGGTGGTGCTGCTGCGAGTGCAGCAACTCCTCCTCCTTCTCCAACCCTACTATGACAACCTCCACCTCCCCAAACCCTAAACCCTAAACCTGTTTGTGTGTTAAATCATGTTGGCAGGCAGAGGGTGAAGATCTGACGTCGCAACACCGGACCAGGCCCGAATGTGTGACTGGGACTCTTCGGCTCGCATTTACCCGGCAAGGCGAACCCCTGAAGCCCTAAGACCCATGCGGTGAAACCTGGTTGTGCGACCCCTGTCCTAAAACCTGATCGTTAGAAAAGCAATACCATTTATTGAATTGCGTAGGGTTGATTTTTGTGTACTTATACAAGATAGTATGCCCCAAAGCCTCATTAAGTTGGTTTTATTATACTTATACACGATCGTATGCCCTAAAGCTGGCTTTGGTTCTTCCGCCGTCCTGGCGAGGTCTGCCGTGGTCCTGCCCGAGCTCGCCGAGGCGGAATTCGTCGAGGCCGAACTCTTCAGCGCTTTAGAGTTGAGGGTTTTAGGGTTTCAGGGTTTTAGGGTTTTAGGGCTTTTAGGGCTTTTAGGGGTTTAAGGCTTTGGGTTTAGGGCTTTAGGGTTTTAGGGGCTTTTAGGGGTTTAGGGTTTAGGGCTTTTAGGGTTTTAGGGTTTAGGGTTTTAGGGTTTGGTTTTGTCGGGCTTGTTTGAAGGCAATCTTCCCATGAAGACTTCCCCTCTGGGCGTCCGATATGCTTAGACGGCAACGGGGAACCCAAAGGAACGACCCAAATACCCCTTTTACCGGGACTCACCTAACCAAGAACCCTGCTGTAGTACTCGAAACCCTAGGCACTCCAAGCTGAAGTTTAGGAGACTTAGATTAGAGGGCGTTGAGTGACATTTTGTGAAGATGTGGGGGTTAGTGTTTGAAGTATCATCGCAGACTAAAGAGACAGAGCCCAAAATCCCGTTCGGTCGCCGCCTGATCGTCGGGAGGCTGAGCGAAAGGTTGCCACGATCATGGATGAGTACCGGGCCCTGGACGAGGTGGGAATGAATCTAATGTACAAGCCCGAATCTTCGTAATAGTACCCCCCCCCTTGCAGTCACTTATGTAGCCCTATATTAGTACCCCCCACTAAACCCTAAACCCTAAACCCTAAACCCCCAAAATTACGTAGGGGCTTTCCTGGCATTCCATGGGGGCCTCAAGGCCTTCCGAGCACCAAGCCTCCGAGGCTCCCGACCACGAGCTGAAGCCCTAGTGTTAGAGTTTCGTTTATACTACATTCGGGTTTGGGGTCGAGGGGTTTCGGGTTTAGGGTTTAGGGGTTTAGGGGTTTAGGGTTTAGGGGTTGAGGGGTTTCGGGTTTAGTTGTCCGGGTTTCAAGCTTGACCCTTGCTCCATTGGGGGCCCTCCGAGCCCGCAGGTGCACATGAAGACGCTGACCGACTGGGTGGCCGAGTTCAACTCACTCGTGCAGGAGATGTAGGGTTCGAGTTTGGACGCGATTCCTTAGCTTCGTGCTCTCATCTAGTGCCGTTTTGGCTTGTGAGGCTTGCCTGATCTGGTTGTTGTCGTCATTTTTCAGGGTAGCTCTTCTTCATTGCAGGGCTCGAACCTCTCCAAATGCATCCCAACATCGCCCTTCGCCTGCACTTGGGGATTGGAGGACAACCGAACGCCCAAGCCGTAAGCGAAGTGGGAAAGCCGAGCCGCCTCCGACCCTGAGTCCGAACACCCCGAATCTTTCAAAGCCTATAGAGTCGCATCAAGCCCTGTAGAACCTTTTTTTAAAGCCTCTTGCAACACTATGAAACCCTTATAGAAAATTGAGCCCGAACTTCAGGAGATTGGACGGCCCGTGCTCGAGAGAGCACAAGGCTACTACGACAGCCGGGCCATTTGGCAACAAGCGATTCAGGACCGAAGGTGGGAAAATGTAGCGTTTGCCGTAGACCCTAGAGTCTGATTCCTCGGCCCTAAACCCTGTAGCCATACTGTAGCACAGTAAACACCAAAGAAGAGGCTTTCTTGTCAGGCTTGAAGATGGCACGGGCCGTGTGGAGGTGTAGTGTCCAAGGACCCCCGACCCTGCAAAGTGTCGAACAGGACTTCGCTGAGCAGCAGGGCGTTCTGGACCGGGTCAACCTCGAGCTGGAGGTGCAGATACATTGAAATAGTAATTTCAATCATACTATAATATACCATAGTATGCTATAGCATGCTATAATACATTACAATGTACTATAATAAATCAGAATACAAAATAATGAGGCCTCTTGGGTCCAGGGGCTCGGATGTAGAGGGGCCCGAGACGAGATGGGCGCAGCATGGGCGGGTTGACGTCATGGTGTTTAGGGTTGAGGGTTTAGCCGGCTCATTGCCGTGCTCATTTCACTTGAGAACTCGCGTTCTGTTCTTCCTTTCCTATCTGCTTGTCATCCTGGCGGATGATATGGCCACGTCTGCCGTTCTTGTCCTCGTTGTCGTCGCAGCTCTACGGTGTTGGTTCACAGGTGCCTCCGGTTCCCAAGCCCCAAATTACACCAAAACCATCAACCCGAGAGCCCAAGCCCAGTTCTCGCTAGTTGCGGCAGGTGGCGGTGAAGAACTTGGCCAAGGCAGAGGCCAACGTCTCAGCTGCATCCCTGCCATCTGAAGCTCTGGCTTTGAGGTCTTCAGGCTGCCGGGTTTGAGACCTAGTTGCTGCTCGAGTTTAGGGTTCTTGGGTTCTAGGGTTTAGGATTTAGTCAGGCTTCTCAGGTTAAGCTTTAGAGTTTCGGACAGGATTGTGCTGAACCGAAGTCTTTGTGAAGGCATGGCTGTCGAAGTCGCTCCACGACAGCTAGTTCCGATTGCCCGCACGCTTTTTTGTCAGTTACCTGGCCCGGAGGCAACCGGCCGGTTTTGGGACCCAAACCCTAAACCGAATCTCTAAGCCCTCGTACCCTCGTACCCGGTCTCAACGTGTCAGGACCTCCACATAACATGGGAGCTGCGAAACCCAGAACAAAGGGTGCCTAGCACAAGCCGCCCCGAATGATAACTCCAACCCGTGGGCCCTTTTACCCCTCGCACCTCCGCTTATGAAGCCTTATACCCACAAAACCGACACCTTGTTTTGCACTCCGAGACGGCCTTCGAAGCCTTCCTCCGGGGCAGCGACGCTCTATCGGACCAGCAATGGGAGGAGCTCGCACCCGCCAAGGCCTGGCGTTCTGCTGCGACCCGAGGAGGTAGCTCTGTCTGCTTTCTTTGTTGGTGCCACGAATTTCCCCAGTTTGATTTTCAGTTTCGCGTGAGAGGGGAGAGGTTTGTAAAGATGGCTGTTTACCACTCTTCCTTCTTTTGTCTTCGTGTGACACCGTTCTACCTTGTTGAGGCTGCTGCTGATGTGCTTGTTGTTGTTGTTGTGGTGGTTGTTGTTGTTGTTGTTGCTTTCCTCGATTACTTCGCGTGCTGGGGTCCATTATGATGAGTGAGGTACTCGTGTCTCTGCGGCGCCTGCCGCCTACGGCCTTGCCAGATCATCTCTTCCAAAGCTCCTGCTGGGTGAAGATGAACTTGGTCATGAAACTGCCATGCGGGCGATGGGAATGATGATGGTAGTGATGCTCATGTGCGTGATTAGGTACGTCCATTATTCTGTGCGTGGTGATCCCGATGGGGATGATGGCGACGATGATCATCGTTTGTTTCTATCATGAGTGAGTTCCCCTGCTCTTTGTGTTTCTTGTGACGGCTGTAGAGTCTTTTTGCAACGTCAGGTCGGCGACGAGAACGATGCCGAGCTGGACTCTGATCCCAAGCTGCTGCGCATGATTCGAGTGGGCGCCCTACATACAGATTACAGTACAGGTTTAAGGGGTGCGTAAACACCCAAACAAGAACCCAAACCAAGCCGCCAATTTGAGACATGTGGGGTTGTGGGTCGCCTGTAGTGTTCGAGGCTCGTACTTTACGGTGGCTCGTGCCTTGCGGTTCTAGGATTTCGCGTTCCCAAAGAAGAGGAGGTCGAGAAACTTCAGGAGGTCAACCGGGAGTTCACCAGAGTTTGCAGCCTCCTTGGCACTGAGGATGTACAGTCATAGCCACGTCAGTGGAGTCATAACGATGGACATTTTGAGGTTTACGCTTTGACGAAAGCTCCACCGATACCTCAAACCCGAAACATCGTATCTCTGTACATGCATTTCTGAGGTCTCTCGTCTTGGAGACACCGTTGCCAATCTGCAGCTATCACCTCAGATGCTGAAGCTCTGAGCACCGGGCTTTCCGGAATAATGAAGACTGGCGATCTATCTCTGCAGTCTCTATCGATCTATTCCGACACAGCACAGCCACACCACCTAAATCCCAAAGGCCGAAACTCGAAAGCCCGCAAGGCCCGAAACCCTAAACAGCCCTGCAGAGCCCTGAGAAAAAAATGCTCAGGACCCGCCGCGACCGGGAGGTCGGGGAGCTAACCCTCAAGCGCGATGAGCTCGAGGAAGCTCGAAGGCCTCCTTAAGCCATGGTTTAGGGTTTAGGGTTTTAGGGTTTAGGGTTTTAGGGTTTAGGGTTTAGGGTTTTGGGGTTTAGGGTTTAGGGTTTTGGGGTTTAGGGTTTAGGGTTTAGGGTGAAGGCTTACCTGAAGGGATCTTGAGGGATCCTAGAAGGGTTACTAGAAGGCTTAGGGTTTTTTTGTTTTAAAGGTTCCTTTAAAAGCGGCTCCTAGAAGCGTTCACCGTCAGGCTCCTACAAGGGTTCGCTTTGGGGTCGGGCTCTCCTGCGGGGGCGACAACGCTTCCTCTGCGCGTTTTCGGCAGTTTAGGGGGGTTCAGGGCTTAGGGTTTTGGCTGTTTCGGGTTCAGGGAGGCGCCGGGGAATGGCGGCCAGTGCGGGTTTAGGGGTTTAGGGAGTTGAAGGCTTCAGAGAACCGCCATGTGGATCGCTTTCCGCTAGCTGCTGTTGTTACAGCTAGTTGCTCTGGAGCGCCCGAAACCTGAACGGCTTTAACTTCAGGCTTGGAGGCAAAGGGCATCTCATGTCGGGTGGCGAAGAAGAAGATGAGAGGAGCTGTTTTAAGCTACGGGCCCCCTTCTGAAAGGTGTGATGGCATAGGCGGCATAGGTGCGAAAACATCTTTCATCACGCCCCCCCCCCCCATCGAACGCACATCACATATCCCTGATTTTGTAAGTAAATCGCAACCTTCATGGTTATGTTGGGGGTAAGTGTTTAGAGCAAAGCCCGTCGTTGTTGACTTCTGCAGGCGCTTTGAGAGCGAAGATCAGATGCACAGCGCTTGCCTGGCCCTTATGCTCTGAACTTGAGGGTTTTGCCTTCGCCATACCTGTCTGTGACCCCCAAACCTCTGACGGTAAACCCGAAGTATCTTGAGGCAACTGCGGTGGAGTTGCTTACTGCTCATGTCTGTTTCTAGTTTTTTTGGAGTGATTTTACGCGAGAAGGGGCCGATCCGAAGGTTTCGCGCCTTCGTTGGGACGACAAAGTTTGAGGAGTTCGAATCCCCGAGTGCGAAATCAACAACCTGTGCACGTCGTCGCAGAAGAAGAGGACGAAGCAGTGGGAGAGGAAAGTGGCAATAGTAGTAACCGTCGGATGTGGAGGCGAATGGTGGAGGAAGCGAATGACAATCGTGAGATGGTACCGTTCAGCCACGGTCATGGCCAGCCAATACATGCAATAAAGCAGAAACCCAACACCATGAAAACGCCGAGTCCACAAGTTCACACTCAGAGGCCATGATCTCCCTTTCACCATAAAGAAACGAGATTCTCAAGCTTCGAACATTTTACACCCAATGCCAAACTGCAGGCACGTGGAACTGCTCGGTGAAACGGGCAGCGCCTTTCTACGAGAAACGGCGGCTGCATGAGCCTGCAGCTGAGAATGGAGTTTGTGTGGATGTAGAGTTGCGGGATTCAAGGGGTCGTTGCCGTCAGCTGCTGCTCTAGCTATAACTGCTGTTTCTGCTATTGCTGCTGCTACTGCTGCTGCTGCCAGCTACTGCCACTGCCACTGCTACTGTTACTGCTACTGCGACTACTGCAGCTGCGACGACGCCGACTACTACTACATAGTACATTGCTTTCAATACGGGTCGTTTTGGTCTTTCTGGTCGTTTTGTTTTTTTGGTCGTGATGATCAGTTTGATATTTATTTGAGGGTGAGGCAAAATGACTGTCGTTTTGTTACCACTACCACGAGCACCACCACTACCACTGCCACCGCCGCTACCACCACCACGACGACGACCACGTCCACGTCCACGTCCACTACCGCTATGACTACTACTGCTGCTACTACTGCTACTACTAATGCTGCTGCTGCTACTACTACTACTACTACGACGACGACGACTACTGCTGTTGCTGCTGCTTCTGCTACTGCTACCACCACCACCATCACCCACCAGCACCGGCACCGGCACCGGCACCAGCACCAGCACCAGCACCAGCATCAGCACCGCCACCGCCGCCACCGCCACCACCGCCACCACCGCCGCCACGGCCACCACCGCCACCACCGCCACCACCGCCACCACCGCCACCACCGCCACCACCGCCACCACCGCCACCGCCGCCACCGCACCGTCACCGCCGCCGCCACCACCGCTAGTACCACCGCCACCACCACGACCGCCGCCACCCGCCGCCGCCACCACGGCCGCTGCCGCGGCGGCTGCTGCTGCTGCTGCAACCACAGCTAGTACTACTCCTCCTCCTGCTGCTGCTGCTTCTCCTATCACAGCAACGTCAGGATCGTGGCTTTCTCGTTGCCGTCACGGTCGTTACCATCAGCATCGTCGTCAATCATGAACGTCGCCACCAACACCATCAGCCATACCATCATTGGCAGCAGCAGCAGCAGAAGCATCAGCAGCAGCATCAGCATCAGCATCACCAGCACCAGCACCAGCACCACCACCAAAATCACCACCACCATCATCGCCATCATCGCCATCATCACCACCATGACCACCATCACCATCATTACCACCATCCCCACCATCACCACCGTCACCACCATCACCACCACCGCCATGACCACCATGACAGGGACCGCCTTCATCTCCATCACACGTGGACCTACTGGTGCTAATTGCCAAACCTTAAGCCCTAAGTCCTCGCATGCACAGGTTCAAGGTGGACCAGCAGCTGACACAGCTCCATGCTGCCGGGGCCTTTTCATGGCAGTCTGATCGTGCGCTACCCTCGGTGGTGCCAGCGCTTCTTCTTTTCCTGCGCTCTGAATCTCGACCCCACAAAAACTCTAAACCGGAAAAGTCCTGAGATTCCGGAGCCTTTGTGGTTAGCACAGGTGGAGCGCCGCCTGAGCGAAGCGAGGAAACACCTTGCTGAGGTGCCTTGCTTTGCGTTTCGGTTGTCGGGCTTGGCTTGGGGTTTTAGGGCTTAGGGTTTAAGGCCTGGGACCCCTAAACCCCAAATCCCGAACCGGACCCGCAGTTTAGGAATTTTGCGGGCCTGTGACAACGCCTCCACCTCGAGCCTAGCAAGCAAGAACTGAACCCCAAACCGTCAGACACCCTAGACCCGAAAACCCCCAACCCCAAAACAGGACCAACCCAGAACCCGAAGGCCAACGACCCATGACCGCACCGATGCGGAAGACATCCCAGGTGCAGGGAGCAGAGTCTCCGGCCTCGGTGAAGAGGAGGCCGCCGATGCGTGAATCTTACCTTTGGTTCGTAGGGAATGGAGGAATGGGGACTATCATAAGTACCACTACGACCATTCTTCCATTCCCTACTAACCAAAGGTAGGGAATGGAGGGCAGCAGACTGCAAAGGCGAGTGGTAGTGATAGTGACCTTCAGCCAGCTGGTGCCGCAACAAGATGGCCATGACGTCAGTGTGCCAGGAGCCCTCAACCCTGGCCTGAGACTCAGACCCCGAACAAATGTTCGGCCAGGTCTCAGTCGCGTCAAATCGACGAGCTGAGTTTGCAGAGCTTCGAGATCGCGGGGGCGGAGCCTGCGCACGACGAATTCCTGTCGCGGCTTGGGCAGAGATTCTGGACTTTCAAGATAGTGCCCGGTGTGCAGGCCCTGCACCCTACGCCCGAGACCCTAAGCCGTAAACCTGTTCTACCACAGGATGAGCCCATCGGCTGAGGTGTGACGAAGCGTCCTCCGACGAGGGGTGAGAGGCCTTGGCTCTCAGCAACAGAGGAGTATGGGGGCCTTAAGACTTAGAACACGGTTCCCCTTGAGGAATCGATCTGGGTTACTGCAGGGCTTTTAATATGGGGGCCTGAAAAATTGCGGTGAGGGTTTGAGGTAGATTATAGTAGAGTTTAAACAGCGGAGCCCTGAGGAACAGCTTTGGTAATTGTTTAGGCCCTGCATTAGTCTTAGTACCAGGCTGTTGTGGGGCTTACGGTTTAAGCTATAGAATTTAGACACAAGTCTTCAAGTCACCGGGGTGGAGGTTTGAAGTAGGATCTCAGGATTTAGTAGTGTGCTACGTGGGGTGATGTAGAGGTATGCGTTTTTGTTTCAGATAGACAGATAGGTACGGCATGCAAGCCGCTACAACCTAAACCACACCCAAAACCCAGGAAGCCCTAAACCCCACACCCCCCTAAACCCTAAACCCTAAACCCTAAGCCCACACCCCCCTAAGCCCTTGACAATCCCCCTCCCGGCTTCACGGGCCTCCGGGACCCTACGTCGGGCCCGGCAGTGTCTTCGCGACTTTTGGGGTTCAGGGGTGAGGGTTTTGGGAGTTTACGCATTGGAGGGTGCTTTGTTGTTGGAATATCTAGAGTTGAGGATGGGGCGGCGCTAGACTCCAGACGTGGAGGGCGCCGGGAAGGTGTAGCCAGGCTGGCTTTGTAAGCATCGTCAACTTATCGCTCATGAGAAGCTGCTGTAGCAGATCTCCTGTTAGGTTCGCAGATCGCCTTTGTGGGTATCCTGCAAAGGGTTTCTGGGGTAGGCGCTCCCTTACAAGAGTCGCGTGCGATTCGAAGTTGAGCTTATAGGGCTTACATTATGGTCCGGTGTTTGTTGTAGGATTCGGGGTTTGCATGTTACTGAGAGCCAGATTGAGCAGAATGGATTGGTTGCTTAGCTCCGTTTCAAATTTCAAGCGCTTTGACCCGTCGTTGCCGTGCAGATAAAAGGCAGGCGGGCTGACACAGAGTCTTTGCAGGACTTCGAGAGTCGTTAGCAGCGTTAGCATTGCCTCCGACAATCCGTGTAATCTCAGAACAGTTCCTTGACAAAGGAGACGAAGCCCTGTTTCGGCTCACGCAATCGCTGATGTGTGCAGCACTCCAAAGAGCCCCCATGTTTGACCCAAGCTGAACCTCAGCCCGGAACTGAAGTCACTAAGGCAAACGCCACTCCGATGCTTTTGCAGCTACTTAACTTAGCATGTAGCCTAAAGCCACCCTCGACCCTAAAGCCATCGAAGGCCTAAAGCCCTTCCAACATGCGCTACTGTACATGCTGAAGCCGTAGCTGTTCGCAAAAGCCGTAAGCATGTGTCCCAGTGTTTTGGCATTAGGGTTTATTGTTTTGGAGTTTAGGGTGTATAGTTTTGGGGTTTAGAGTGTAGGTTTCCGAAGCAGCAGCACGGCGGCTGGTTTCTAATTGGAGCAATGCCGTGCAAGAACATGAAACCCAAAAAATAAACAAACCCTAATTGCGCCCGTAAGCCCGTAAGCTCAAACTATGGCATCGAGATGTCCGCCACGGGCAGCGTTGTCATTGTGAGGCAAGCAAGCCAGGAGGTTTCTGTTTGGAAGTCACCCAAGCCCTCAGCATACAGATCAACCATGCTTCTCGAGGTATCGATAGTGCTAGTGGTATGGTGTTAGAGGAACAGCAACATCAAAAGCTCTCATTCTGCGTCAACCGCTCTGATACGAAGTCAGAGTCGAAGTCTGCTAGCCTAACTTAATTATCTGTACGTTGAGACTTTTTCACACGGTTTAGGGTTTAGGGTTTAGGGTTTATAGTTCCTCCTTCGTGCGCCGACTCGCAGGTCAAATGCGCCGCGTCTCCGCTATTGAGCGCGAGGCCCGCGGACCAATTTCGCAGGGAGTACAACAGGGGTCTTACTTACTACGAAGTACTAAGCAGAGGGTTTGGGGTATATCATGGCATGAGTTCAAAAAACTGCAAAGGGGATGCTCTGACTCAACATTCAGACTTCTTTGTTATATGATCGCCAACCCTGAAGATCGTAAGCTCGTTTTTGCATGTTTTCACCCTCCTTAACATGACGCTCGGAGCGCATCGGCGGCTTTCACAGGCTCCCTACTGCTACTAGTTTAGCAGCAGCAGCAGTGGTGGTGGTGATGCTAATGATAGTAGTAGTCTCTCGCAGTCGTAGTCGTATTCGTAGTGGTAGCTTCCTCACGGTGATGACGAATTACTTTGCGGTTTCCTACTTCGAGAATCAATACTCTAAACATCATCACCATCATGATGTCAGCATCACCATCATCTTTATCGCCGTCAGTATCTTCAGCGATCGTCTCAAGGCCTGTATCAAGGTCGACATCCACAACCACAATAATAGAAACTATTCGCAGATTGTAACAGTCATCGCCACCACCACTGAAGACCCATAACAGGTGGCCAGATCTGCCAGGGCGCATGCGCAAGGCTCTCGGATGCCTGTATCATCATGGCCGCCGTCAGTCCTTGCTGGACTTTGGGTTTCGGGTCTAGGGCGACGAGGATCTGAGAATCTGGGCTTTGGAGTTTGCAGGAAGCTACGGTGAGTAGATACTACACCCGAAACGGCCCCAGCGAGTGTAGTCCAACCTCAAATCCTCGAAATCAAGCCAACAGGACACTATCCAAACCAAGAGTTCCCATTCGTTAAGCCACCAAAAAACCCTCGCCCCCCAAACCCTAAACCCAAATATTTGAAATTTGAAGCCGCGATGCCTCGAAGCACAAGCCCAGGGACCGGAGCACGGCCAAAGTGGTGGACTCAGACCAGAGACCCTCTGCCGCCCAACTCGGTGTGTAGGCGGGCTAAGTTCGGTTTCTGCATGGCACTTGCACCACGTCGTAGTGCACAGCCAGCAGTCACATCAACGCAAATTCGATGCGTCTCATATCGAGCATCTACAGCATCTACATAAAGGTCTGACATCCCTAATGATCTACCACCTACGTTCTGTCATGTGTCATATGATGTGACTTTTGCCGTTCGAATGGATGATACGACTTCAGCAGGCTTCGATTGGTAAGCCAGCCTTGAACCTTCCCAAAGGCATTAACTAGAAGCCTGCATGAGGTCAAATTCCCAGCAGCCCTAAGTTCTAAGCCTTCAAGCCCGTCTACAAACCTTGCAAGCCCCAAGAAAAAATGAAAAATGAAAGCCGTAGAAGCCCCACACCAGACCCACAAAGTGAACCCGTTGGGCACTAAACCCAACCTGAGGATGCCGTCGGACCCGGTAGCCAGGTGCCGAGTCGGGGTGTCGGAGCTTGTGGAAGCGGGTTGTTTGTGCGTGCGTGCGCGCTGTTGGTAAGTGAGGAGCTTAGGATTTCAACATGTTGGGCATTTTGGTTGTCTCAGAGTTTGGTACGGTTTGGTGGCTCTGATGTGGACGGCTTCAATGTTTGGAGGTGAAGCTGGTCGACTTAACTTCGAACATGTGGATCGTTCCATAGTACTGGGAAAGTGGGAAGACAGGACATTGCGAGAAGAAGAAGAAGGCACAGCCCCCGCTCCGCCCCTAAAAGTATCCAGGGCACCGCCGCCCTGAAAAGCTCTTCAAAAGGTGCGACCGGCACAGCCGGCGACGAGGGCCCAGATGAACAAGCATGCCGAGGACGAACCCGTTGCTGTCCGACCAAGGGCCCTGATCCACAGATTCCTAAACTGGATTTCAATACTATTATGGGGGCTGGAAGAAGTACATAGTGACGGAAGGTTGTAAAGCTCTTCTGTTTTGCTCAATCCGCTGCAGGGTTTCTGGAAGACCTGATGATTCCTGATGTGACCGGCATTAGCGTTTTGTGGCACTACCAACGGTGGATGCAGTATATTATATAGCACATCTAGATGCATGGATTCTCCATGTACACACAACCGAGACACCGAGGGGGGAGTGTACTATCTACCTCAGCAACCGCGTCAGCTGCTCTGGCAGCAGTAAACTGAGCAATGGGAAGATTTGTGCATTGTCGTTGCAGCAATACCAGTATTGAGAAGCCGAGTAGAAAATGTTGCTAAGTAATCCCTAATGATACCCGGCCCCAGACCTGAAGGAGTCCATTGCAACTTCTCCCTTCCTACTCCTGCCGGCACTGTCACAACCATGCTGCAACTACTGATCCTACTGCGTCTGCCACTACTGCGGGGGGACAGCTTCGCTTCGGGCCGTGCTGATGCTTATTGCGGCGCCAGAACGAGCAAAAGCTCGGGAAGCGCGGCATGCTGTCCTCGTGGATGCTGCTGCTGCCTCAGCGCCTTTTGGGCGGGGCTCATGGTGCAATATTGGTGATGGTACATTTTGATCTTCAGCAGGGGATTTAGATCTATGGAGTTTTGTGGGCTGTCTCTCCGTCCCTCACTGTCTCTGTCTCTGTCTCTCTGTGTCTCTCTCTACTGATCTATCTACCTAATGTATCAGACGTATGATGCTCATGTGTCTAGATGTCTCCTCATACTTGTGCTTGTATCCGTGCTCTGCAATTTAAGCAAAAGCTCTCTGTGCTGGGATCGTTTTCCAAGCAGGACCAGCCCACTTCAAAAGAAACCCTCTTGTGCCTGGTCTTCACGTGTCGAGGTTCGTGGGGTCGTTGTGTGGACCCTCTGCGCCATGCTTCACCTTGGCTTGGTATGGATGGTGGCGCATGTCCTTGTCTCAGATTTCGACGGATCTTTTTGTGGTGTGCTTCGCTTCGGTTTGTGTAGGATTTCCCGTTCAGGGTTGCTTGATGCTTTGAGGGAGATTCCGCGTCCAATATTCGGATGTTCAATGCTCCGCTTTCGCCCACTGCTGCATTCTGCAAGCTACTATCTCTCTTCCTCTTGGAGTGCCAGCGATCATGTGACGAAGATTGCTTTCGCAAATTGCAGCTATGACCCTGCACCGACCTCAAGTTCTACACCCTAAATCCTAAACCCCAAACGCCGCGTCCTCAAACCGAAGCACGACGCCCGCAAACACCCCAAACCCTAAACCCTGAACCCCGCTTGTCACCTCGGATCGCTCGGAGCACTCTACGCAAGAGCTACAATTCTCGGAGTTTCTGGACTTCGGGTTCAATGCTTGGGTTTCTGGATGTGCACAGGGGTTTGCTGTTTGTTCTAGGAGTTGGTGAGGGAAGTTCAGATAAGAAATGGTCAACTCAATCTCCGTTTTTGCACTTCCGACCCGCTGAGTTTACGGTGAGCTTGCACCTCACTGCAAATTCGTCGAGCCTTGTGGTGAGCTTAGCTACGGAGCCATTATCTTGGAGATTTTGTGAAGAGTCAGGACTTCTACTGAGCGTTCTTTTGGCTGATGTAGTGTTATGAACTCTACCGTTGAATGCGCTATATAGGGAGGGCATACCGTCGTCGTGGAGCTGTAGAGAGGCTTTCACCTGCAAAGCCTTTCATCCTACTGCAAGCACACCCGGACCGCTTGCTCCCCATAAATAGGGAAACGGTCGCACCTGCATCCGCATGCAGACGACAGTTCGGAGGGCAGTCTCAGTAGACTTTTAGGTGATGTGAAGCGCTTGCTGAGGAGCCGTGCAGAAGTTGCTTCAAATGATGCTGTAAGGGCTTACTGTCTTGTGTCCTTATCATCGCTTCTGAAAGCTCCAACAGTGGGGCTCTGCATGTCGGTTGTCACGCTGGAATCTGCCGTAGTTGTGAAGCCTCGACCGTGTTAGACTCAAAGCATCATTGCTCTAAGTGCAGGCTTGGATGTTGCTTGGTTCCTTACCTGCTGGCTGCTCAGCTGTCTTCCGGTCTTTAACTTAGAACTGACGCAAGCCCTGGAGGATTGTGGCAGCAGTGGTTGAGGTGTACGCTGAATGGGGGTTTGGGAAGCTCGGTGTTTCGCCTGCAGCTTCAACCGTCGATGCTCGTGGTCTTCAAAAGGGCGTTCACTGCCATTGCAGACTCTCGATGCAACTCCTAAGCCCGAAGCTCCCTGAGCCACTAAAGGCCCCAAAGGCCCCAAAGGCCCTGTGGGCCCTTCATCCCTTAACAACCTAAACTGCCCGGAACAACCCAATCCCCTAAACCCTCAACTTTACACCCCTGTCATCCCTTTACAAGTCCCAAAAGGCCGACCTTCGACCCCCTAATCTCTCAACCTTTAAACCCATCCGAAACCTTGAACCCACTAAACATCAAGCTTCCCAAATCCCGAATCCTCTAATCTCCTCCACATCCTCAACCCCACCAACACCGATAAAATAAAAGAGCGGCCTGCCATGGGGCCTGGGTTTTTGAGTATCGTGTTTCTTGGTGTCATATCGGATTATGCAATGGGCGCATGCATTTACGCATGCTACTGCTCACGAAGGTGTAACATTATGCATCATGTTGTGTATGTACATGCGTATACACGTGAATGCACAGGCATGTGCATTCTTACAGATGCACAAGTCCGTACATGTGTTTGCTGTGCGTTGGCATTACCGTGGTATCCTCTACTATACGATAATCCACTTCCAAGCGAAATGAAAGAGTCATTTTAAGCAGTTGGCTCACGACATTGACTCGGTGAAGGTCTGTGTGTTTGTGAGTACTCAGTTGAGTCTGTATTGTAGTATCTCAGTATGTCAGTATGACTTGTTGATAAGGAGTCTCACAATAATACGCAGCCACAATGACTATCGCATGACTGCAGTTCTGCAAGTTGGGGAACACACATGCACATCTGTGCTTTTTGTTATGGTGTCGTAACAATGCACACAGCATCACGGTTTTTCCTTCTCTTACTCATACAGGGATACATACGCGCACAAGCCTATGCATGTACTTTTTTATGTGTTTGCACTCCCATGGTACACTCTACTACTACAGTACAAGTTGCGCAGCAGATATGCCGCCGCTTGTAAGCGAAATGAAAGGAAATATTAAACTTGAAGCAACTACGTATACACTTCACGCATCGTTCCAGCTTACTCTACAACTTTAACACCCGGTAATCTAGGGTGCGGAGCCTTGCCGTGTTCAGATTCCCTTATGTCCTGACTCGGTGAAGGTCCGCGTGTTGTGTGGGTACTCAGTTTAGTCTTTATTATAGTATCTCAGTATCTCAGTATGACTCAATGACTTGCTATGAAGGGCCCCACAAACAATGCGCAGTTACACTGACTGTCGCAAGACTGTATTTCTGCAAATTGGCGAAGACATGTGCACATGTGCTTTGTACGGTGCCGTTACATATACTGTATCAGGGTTCTATTCAGTCTGTATGTACACAGGTTAACAGGTCGGTGACACCATCCATGCTTAGACCAGTGTGTGTATGCATTCATACGGCCCCCAAGTGCTTGTAAACAGAAGGATATTGCTTATCAGCAGAATCAGTGCTTATTAGCAGAATGCCTGCTTATAAGCAGCCGGACTGCTAATATGCATAACATAAGATAGATTAGACAGTAAGCTTGTTTATTTAGACCCTAAACCCAAAAGGAAAGCCACAGCGTGAGGTTGTGCGGGCGCGTCACCTGTGGCCAAAACCGAAAAAAACAAAACACCCCAAGAAGCAAAAAACCAAAACAGCAAATACACCAAAACAAACAATCATTTTCAATTAGTCGGAATCTGCAGACAGTCCGGAAATATTTGTGTTTTTTTGGGTTTCTTTGATTTTGTGTTTTTTTTGGTTTCTTGGGTTTTCTTGGTTTTGATAGTGGGCTGAGGAAGTTTAGGGCTTCGGCATTCCAGAGGGCCTCCGTGCCTGCCGGGGAGCAAGCAATCCAAAATGACAAGGTTTAGGGTTTAGGGTTTAGGGTATCGAACAGTATGCGAACGTGTGGTGTGCAAAAATGGCAGCCCTTCTGTAGTAATGGCTCAGCAACCATAAGGCTATTATTTCACATGCTCTTGGGGCCAGATAGCCCCAAGCCCCCAGGGATTTCAACCCCTAAACCCCCCCTAAAATAGGAAAATAATGGCATGACAAGGCTATTCTTCTACATAGTTTCTGGGGGTTTAGGTAAGGCCTGAACCCGAAACCCTCAACCCTAAAACCCCCAAAGATCCCCAACACCTTCAGGTCTTCTCGGCCGAGCGATTCCTGCAGCGCAGCGCTGCGGGCATCAACCTCCGAGGGATCTCCGGGGCGCGCGGCCCGGGGGTTGAGGGGCCCGCGGAGTTTAGGAGTTTAGGCTTTGGGCTTTAGGTTTTAGGGTTTCGGGTTTCTAAATGGCTTGTGGGTTTGGGATTTTAGGAGTTTAGGAGTTTAGGTTTTAGGGTTTCGGGTTTCTAAATGGCTTGTGGGTTTGGGATTTTAAAAGTTTAGGCTTTGGGTTTTAGGGTTTCGGGTTTCTAAATGGCTTGTGGGTTTGGGATTTTAGGAGGTTAGGGTTTGGGTTTTAGGGTTTCGGGTTTATAAATGGCTTGTGGGTTTGGGGTTTTAGGAGTTTAGGCTTTGGGTTTTAGGGTTTCGGGTTTAGGAATCGGGGTTTGGGTTATGGGGGTGTAGGGGTTTAAGGTTCAGGCTGTTGCTCCTGATTCCCGAGTGCCGAGATGCCAGGATGGCCCTTTGCAATGTCGGGGAGTTCCCTTGCCCTCCCTCGTGCCGCTGCCGCTCTTGCCAGGACTGCCCGGTGCTGCCAGTAGGAGAATGGAGTTTGCTTATCAAGCCTGCAAAGTTTACTATCCTGTCATATTACAACTCCTCTCCTCTGTGAGATGTTACGAGACAAGCAGGGATACGTTTATGTGGCTTGTGGCCTGACGCGGCCCACTAGACCGCCCTTTGAAGGCAAGCGATGCCTCACGGACTGTCCAGAATTACACCCCGAGTCTAAGCTGTTGCCTGGGTGCCAAAGCCTAGCCTAAGCGACCCTTTGGTTTGGGCTGCGGTATTTCAAGAGGCTTTTGGCTCGGGATGCCAGGTACCAGTGCTAATCTGGCACAAGCTGCTTGAAGGTCCCAGTCCACACCAGGCCGGATCCTAATCTCCAAGTCGTAAGCCAGCCCAAGCTCTAAACAAGGAGCCCCTTGGTTCGGGCCGCGGATCGCCTGGAGCCGAGAGTGTGGGCAGCAGTGGCGTTGCCACTTTGATGGTGATCATGGCGACCATGATGAGGAGGGCGAGCATGATGTTTCTTCTTGTCGTCGTTGTTGCGGTTCTGCCCACTTCCGCCCGCAACCTCCTCTGGGGGTGATCGTGCTGATATATGATGATGGTTGTGGTGCTGTTGGTCATGGTGATGGCAAAGATGCGGAAGAACTCCTCCTCCTCCTCATGTTCCTCCTCCTCCTCTTTCCTCCTCCTCCTCTCATCTGCAGGATCGCGGTGATGAGCAGCTGTGATGTTTGTTCCACGACCACCTCAATGGCTACATTGACGTGAGGTTCGTCTGGCGGCAGGATCTACTGCAGGCCTTTCCTTGGCAGCGCTGGCAAGGCCTTGCTTTTTGTGGTGACGTGCGTCGGCGTCGTGTTTCGGAGGCAGGGGCTTCACAGCTCGGAAGCATTGCTTGTCATGTCTGGCTCTCGCACGGTCCCCGAAGTAGACCGGAAACCCTCCACCCCAAACGCAAGAATCCGAAACCCAAACTTAGGCTTCTGCCCTAAATGGAGCTCGATCTTCGTGCAGGCTCTCGTCTCCCTTTGCTGCCGCTCTGGGCGGGTGCCCCGCACTTTGCATCCATGTGGTTTAGGGTTGATCCTAGTCCGAGGCCTGATCAGTTTATTCATTGATCAGGGTTAAGGGCTACTATAGGTTGCTGCAATGGAAACCGCTTTAGGGGGAGTTTATTGCAGGTTTGTCCTCGCAAGCTGGGGAGTTCGTTCGTTCGTTGGGGTTCCGCGTTTTGAGTATCCTACTGCTATTGCCTGAAGCTCTCATATGCCTTCCGGACACCCGCCGAAGATGAGAGGTGCGCGGAGACCGTTCTGCTGCTCGTCAGAGTAAAGCCCTCAGTGGGTCCATGGTTTCGTGTGTCATGGACTTGGGCTCGGGGCTTTCATTGGACAACGAGAAGTTACTTCGCTCGATGTGCTTGCAGCCATCATACACGTGTCTGTCGTTAACTTCATCATGACCATCATGATGCCTGAACCGTACTCTGGCATTAGCCTTTGTGCAGCGGGATGCCTTGATCCCTATCCACCCTGGCTTCCTCCCAGATGATGCGTCGAGGACCACGCAAGCTTTCGAAGTTTCCCGCCCCTTTCGGGTATGCCACCCTCAACCGTTCATGTTTAGGTTCTTTTGGGGGCTGCTACCTTAGATCCAAGGCAGCGTACGCCTGCATCTGGATCTGCGACTGGCGCCTGCAGCAGATGTGGCGCAAGAGGAAGTAGCCAGGAAAAGAAACTAGGTTTCAGGGTTCGGGTCTCAGGGTTGAGATGAAAAGCGAGACTTGCTGCTGCTAGGCTGCTGCCGTACAATACTCAATACTCACTGCACAGGTAACGGTTGATGAGTCGCGAAGTCTTGTTTGGATTGTTTGGAAGGCTTACTGTTACTGCTGTCGAGGAATTTGCAGATTAATAATCATAATAGTAGCAAATAATAATAATGATATATATATATATGTAATATTATATTATATATATTATATATAATATAGGAATGATTGAGACCATGGGTGCATGAAGCCCCAGGGCTGGGATGCGATCTTGCTTCCAAGTCTGGGAGACACGGCTGTGTTGAGTGTCGGAAGACAAGCAGTGCTAGAGTAGTGCAAGTATTTCATGTAACCAGACATCAGGGTTTTTTGTAGCTCAGCATTGAGATTTCATTGGCTTTTGCCCGCCCAAAGCCACAGCGACTGCTGCTGAATTCCACGAAAAGACTCCTAACGGATATGTAGCAAAAGATTGAGAGCAGAAGCCGACTTCATAGCATCACACACACAGTGCGCTTTTATCAGTTTCGGCCAACCCCGCAGCTGGCAGTTTTCGATCGGAGCTTTAGCGCGATGTCGTCCGGACAGCCGGTGCTGCCTGTGCCGCAGCAAGCCCTGCATGGATATGATGAAGTTCCGGCAACTGTCAGGTCCTCGGTCGTCTTCAATTTCCATGTGGCTTACCAGGGCCGCTAAACTTTAAGCTCTGAAGCAGTAACTCGGTGTTAAGCTACTAGGCGTTCATCACGCACAAGGCGAAGGTGTGAGTAAGTTCAATAGAGCAGAACGATGATCAGACATGTAACAGATAATAGAAACTATACAACACGTTATTATATGATGCAGAATGTATACTACATACTATATAACATACAACGTAACACGTGTAATAACTAGCTGAACATATCTCATACCTAATACCGCCAACACCTAATGTCTCATATCTAAGATCTCATGTCTGCTGTCTAGTATCCCATATCTAGTATTACATATCTATCATCTTCTAATATCTCATGTCTAATGTCTCAAGACATAAATGTAATAATCATGCAAATAATATTTTCATATTTTGTATATATGAGTACACGAGTATATAAACACCTTACACAGCAACTGATATTTTGTTGTTGGTGGTGTCTGTATATATATATATAAGATACCGATGTCTGTCTGTCTGTTTCTGTCTGTCTGCCTGTTTCTGTCTCTCTGTCTGTCTGTCTGTCTGTCTGTGTCTGTCTGTGTCTGTCTGTGTCTGTCTGTGTCTGTCTGTGTCTGTCTGTGTCTGTCTGTGTCTGTCTGTGTCTGTCTGTGTCTGTCT